CAGCCTGGGTGACAGAGCGAGACTCTCTCTAAAAAAAAAAAAAAAAACAAGGCCGGGCGTGGTGGCTCATGCCTGTAATCCCAGCACTTTGGGAGGCTGAGGTGGGTGGATCACGAGGCCAGGAGTTCAAGACCGACATGACCAACATGGGGAAACCCTGTCTGTACTAAAAAATACAAAAATTAGCTGAGTGTGGTTTCGCGCACCTGTAGTCCCAGCTACTCGGGCAGCTGAGGCAGGAGAATCGCTTGAACCTGGGAGGCAGAGGTTGCAGTGAGCCGAGATCGCACCAGTGCACTCCAGCCTAGGCGACAAAACAAGACTCTGTCTCAAAAAACAAAAACAAACCTAATCACCAGTGTGATAATGTTAGGAGGTAGGGCTTTTGGGAGGTAATTAGGTCATGAGGATGAAACCCTCATGAGTGGGATCAGTGCCTTTCTAAGTAGAGATGCAAGAGCTTGGCTCTCACCTACCTCTGCCATGTGAGGATATGATGAGAAGGTGGCCGTCTGCAAACCAGGAAGAGATCCCCTACTGCCAGTGACTTGCTGCCAGACTTTCCAACTTCCAGAACTGTGAGAAAAAAAGTTTGTTGTTTAAGCCACCCAGTGTATTGTATTCTATTATAGTAGTAGCCTGAACTGTCTAAGACAGACATTGTAAAAATTATTTCTCATGCTCTTCCATTTATAAATACTCTTAGTTAATTTCAAATCAGATTTCAGATAGACATGGTAAACATGAAGCTAATAAGCAGTGAACTGGTAAGGTGGTTTGTGCCTGTAATCCCAACTACTTGGGAGGCTGAGGCAGGAGGATTTCTTGAAGCCAGGAGTTGGAGACCAGCCTGGGCAATAGAGAAACTTGTTTTTTTTGTTTGTTTGTTTTTAAATTTTTCAGTGGTTCTTTATTCATAAACCTGATGCAAGTTTACAAAATTTACTGTTACACTGCCAGATAAATCTGCAATGAAAAATAAAATCCAAAAAACAAAACATGCCAAATGTGCAGCTATCAATCTGTTTGCCATCAGGATATTAAATAATTCAATAATGTATTCAAGATTTAGCTTTAGGTTTAAGGAACTTTAATGCTTTAAAGAATTCTGCCTTGTCACTTGTTATCTGAGCAACCAGCAATCAGAACTTTATTCAAATGTAACCAAGTGAACGAGAATACCAGAAATTAAATAAATAAATAAATAAGCTGGGTTTGGTGGTGTGCACATGCAATCTTAGCTATTTGGGAGGCTGAGGTGGAGGGACTGCTTGAGCCCAGGGGAGTCTGAGGTTGCAATGAGCTATGATCGCACCACTGCACTCCAGCCTGCACCACAGAGTGTGACCCCATCTCTAAAAAAAATTAAAAACTAAAAAGTACTGTTTAAAAATCAGTGACTATTACTCCAAACCTAACACATGCTGATGGTAATGTAACAAATATGAGATAATGCCTGCTGGCGTAGCAGAGAGAGGGTTGGGTAAGGATCCTGGCTCTACACCTATTTGCTCTGGGGTCTTGGGTGAACAACTTGAACTTTCCTCATCTGTAAAATATAGGTAGGTGTAAATATCTCACAGAAGTGGATGTAAAACTACCTGCCCCTAGGCCTGGTCCATGGAGAGTGCTCAAAAGTGTCAGCCCCTCCCTTCCAAAAGCGTACAGGTTTTGTGAAGAGAAATATTAAAAGTAATTGCAAAAACTGCAATTACTTTTTTATCAACCTAATAATTAGAAAATTGTAGTTCAGCTGCTAGGATGCTAAATGCAATCAAGGCCAAAGAGGGAGAAATGGGCACTTCCAGAACAGTGAGTGAAGGCTCTGGGAGGAGGCATCAAATACAGTAAAGTGGTGGTGATGGGAACAGTATCACCAACACCCCCCAACCCAGACACACATACACAAAATCCAATTTTCTGCCTTCAGTGAAGGAGGGCCTACGTTTGGGCACTAGAACTTCCTAAAGAGCATGATGCCATCCAGAACCCTGTCATCGTTTGCTTCAAGATGGAATGCTTTGGCTTGTGAATCCTAAGCAGCAGACTGACTGGTGCGAAATGCCTCAGTTTCCCCTTCCAAAAAGCCAATGAGCTGAATATGCTCAGGACCAAGAAGGCAGGCCCTGTCTCATTGCTTTCCACACTGTGAAACAGGAGGAGCCCTGCCTTCTGCTGCTCGGCATTAGAACTAGCACCTCGTTGGTTGGGCGCAGTGGCTCACACCTGTAATCCCAGCACTTTGGGAGGCTGAGGCAGGTGGATCACGAGGTCAGGAGTTCGAGACCAGCCTGGCCAAGATGGTGAAACCCTGTCTCTACTGAAAATATAAAAATTAGCTGGGCACCTGTAATCCCAGCTACTCAGGGGACTGAGGGAGGAGAATCGCTTGAACCTGGGAGGAGGAGGTTACAGTGAGCTGAGATCGCGCCACTGAACTCTAGCCTGGGCAACAGAGCAAGATTCCATCTCAAAAAAAAAAAAAAAAAAAAAAAAGAACTAGGCCCTAGCACCTCATTCTTGTCTTCAACAGTTGTATTTCAGTTTTTAAAAAGCAAGAGTGAGGGTGCTTCAAACAAAACACACCTCCTTTGCTGTCTCATTTAGCCTGATAACTCCCATTCTCTCCTCTTCTTGCCTGCTTTGGAACCCAAAATAAGTTCAGCTTCCAGCCAGGGAATCTCATTGGCAAATCAATAGCGGCTCCAGGCACCCCTGGCAGACAGCTGCCCCCTCTCCTGGTGAACTTTGCTTTCCCTGCACTGCACGGCACTCTGAGGCTATGCGTTTTTTTTTCCCTTTTTTACTTTTTCTCTTCTCTCCAACTGTAGCCAAGGAAACGCTCATGGGAGGAGAAACAATCCTGAGAAGCTAATTGAGGACCAAATTGGGCTTTTGAATCTAAGCGGTGTGTGTTAACACTCATGCCCTCTGCAAATGGCTCTGAAGCCACAAAAGGCTTTCTTTCCTTAGATTACTCTCTGTAACAGCTAGACATTTCTATCTGTTCCAGGGTGTCAACAAAAGAAAGAACTGTGGTCACATCTTCCTTTTTCTCCAGAGAGCAAGAAATCGAGTTAGAGGGAAAAATACTCACAGATATGCTTCCGAAAGCTCAACACTTGCCAGCCCTGACGTGTTGCAGTAGGAAGATCAGCAGCCTCAGACAGGGCCTCATGGGCCACCGTAGAGAGAAACAACTGTTCCTGCTCCCTACACGAACTGGGCCCAGAGCAGTGGGAGTGGCCAGGGTCATCAAGGAAGCTCATTATATTGGGAGCTCCCAGTTTTCCCAACATCAGGGCTTCCTGGGGGCTTCTGTGCAATAAGCAGGTGGTGAAAGAGTGTGAAACCCTGCCACTTGGAACCGCTGAAGGAAAGCAGGACAGCCATGCTCCAATGAGAAAAGCATTCTCATGGAGAAGAGATTAGGCTTATTCTAAGTGAACTTGAACCTACCACTAGGGTCTAGATTCAGATATCAGTATTCTAAAAATTGAATTGTTCAAAGAAAATGATTATTCTAGGAGGTAGAAGCATTATAAGAGGGGCTGTACTGACCAACTTTCAAAGCCTCTGCCAATCCTGAGGTTCTATGTCCCGCTTCTCCCCCACTTCCATTTTGGTTTGAACACCACACATTATTCTAGGAGCACATTCTATGTGGCCCATCAGGTGTCTTGGGCTAAACCGATGAACTCATCTCTCTCTCTCTCTATCTCTGTCTCTGTCTCTGTCTCTGTCTCTCTCTCTCTGACACACACACACACACACACACACACACAGTCATGGTGATTGATTCAGTAATTACTGGGTATGTCTTTTGAAGTAAATCATAATAATTTGCTAGGAATATCGAAACAAGTGTCCTCTTTCTTTTTTTTTTTTTTTTTTTTTTTTTTGAGACAGTCTCGCTCTTGTTGCCCAGGGTGGAGTGCAATGGCACGATATCGGCTCACCACAACCTCTGCCTCCCAGGTTCGAGTGATTCTCCTGCCTCTGCCGCCCGAGTAGCTAGGATTACAGGCATGCGCCACCACGCCCGGCTAATTTTGTATTTTTAGTCGAGACAGGGTTTCTCCATGTTGGTCAGGCTGGTCTCGAACTCCCGACCTCAGGTGATCCACCCGCCTCAACCTCCCAAAGTGCTGGCATTACAGGCGTGAGCCACCACTCTCGGCCAGTTCTCTTTCTTTTATGCTAAATAAGAGTAAAGAAGAAAAGGGTCTTGATTGCTGTTGGCAGATATTTTTGGAGGACCACTCCAAAAGTCATCTTTAGGAGGAAGGCAGAAATGGGGGAAGAAAGGAAACAAGATCCTTGGTGATCTGAAGTCATGAATCAATCCTTACCTTAGGCTAGATCTACCTTTGGACCTTTCAGTGCAAACATCTATAAAATCTCTTGATTATCTGAATCAGTCTTAGTTGGGATTTTTGTTATTTGCAAATAAAAGCACCTTAACCAATGTAAGGGCAATAGTGAGACGTGTACTTCTCAGTCCCTAACCTCAGAGAAAGAGCTTCCAATATAGCTAGGAAGATGAGACATTTTTATAGGATAACTAGAGTGGCACAGAAGAAGAATATAGATATCAGACATTGAGAGGTGAAGCCAGCTGGGCTTCTGGGTCAGGTGGGGACTTGGAGAACTTTTCTGTCTAGCTAAAGGATTGTAAATGCACCAATCAGCGCTCTGTGTCTAGCTAATTGGGTGGGGACTTGGAGAACTTTTGTGTCTAGCTAAAGGATTGTAAACACACCAATCAGCACTCTGTGTCTAGCTAAAGGTTTGTAAACACACCAATCAGCACTCTGTCAAAACGGACCAATCAGCTCTCTGTTAAATGGACCAATCAGTGCTCTGTAAAATGGACCAATCAGTGCTCTGTAAAATGGACCAATCAGCTTTCTGTAAAATGGACCAATCAGCAGGATGTGGGTGGGGCCAAATAAGGGAATAAAAGCAAGCCACCCTCGGCGGCCGCAGCAGCAGCAAGGTGAAGATTTGTGTTTTGTGTGGTGTGTAGTAAGTGTCGCTGCTGCTCACTCTTTGGGTCTGCACTGTTTTTGTGAGCTGTAACACTCACGCCGAATGTCTGTAGCGTCACTTCTGAAGTCAGCGAGACCAGGAACCAACCAGAAAGAAGAAACTCTGTGCACATCAGAGCATCAGGAGGAATAAACTCCGCACACACTATCTTTAAGAACTGTAACACTCATCGGGAGGGTCCGCGGCTTCATTCTTGAAGTGAGTGAGACGAAGAACCCACCAATTCCGGACCCAGCATGACTGCATAAGATACGGTACGAAATGGGTGTCACAAAACCATGACAAACCATATGAAAGATAGAAAAGAATGCTATAAGCTACTCAGGAAAAGATACTATTACCTGCATCCCTTCTCTCTTACTTCTGTTAAGCAGGGTGAGGCCTCCTTAAGAGCGTGGTCTCTGGAGTCAGATTGCATACGCTTAATTCTCAGCTTGTCTTAAATACCACTTAAATTGTGTAGACTTAAATTCCATTTGCTAGTTTTGTGGTCTTGGGCTAGTAACTTTTCTGCACCTTAATTTTCTAATTTGTAAAGTAGGTATAAAAAACATAGTAATTGGCCGGGCGCGGTGGCTCACGCCTGTAATCCCAGCAGTTTGGGAGGCCGAGGCGGGCGGATCACAAGGTCAGGAGATCGAGACCACGGTGCAACCCCGTCTCTACTAAAAAAATACAAAAAATTAGCTGGGCGCGGTTGTGGGCGCCTGTAGTCCCAGCTACTCGGGAGGCTGAGGCAGGAGAATGGCGTGAACCCGGGAGGCGGAGCTTGCAGTGAGCCGAGATCGCGCCACTGCACTCCAGCCTGGGCGACAGAGCGAGACTCCGTCTCTTAAAAAAAAAAAAAAAAAAAGGCCGGGCGTGGTGGCTCAAGCCTGTAATCCCAGCACTTTGGGAGGCCGAGACGGGCGGATCACGAGGTCAGGAGTTCGAGACCATCCTGGCTAACACGGTGAAACCCCGTCTCTACTAAAAAATACAAAAAACTAGCCGGGCGAGGTGGCGGGCGCCTGTAGTCCCGGCTACTCGGGAGGCTGAGGCAGGAGAATGGCGTAAAAACCCAGGAGGCAGAGCTTGCAGTGAGCTGAGATCCGGCCACTGCACTCCAGCCTGGGCGACACAGCAAGACTCCGTCTCAAAAAAAAAAAAAAAAAAAAAAACATAGTAATTAGGGCTGGGCGCTGTGCCTCATGCCTGTAATCCTAGCAGTTTGAGAGGCTGAGGCAGGTGGATCACGAGGTCAGAAGTTCAAGACCAGCCTGGACAGGATGGTGAAACCTTGTCCCTGCTAAAAATACAAAAATCTGCTGAGAGAGGTGGAGTGCGCTTGTAATCACAGCTACTGGGGAGGGTGAGGCAGAATTGCTTGAAACCGGGAGGCGGAGGTTTCAGTCAGCCGAGATGGTGCCATTGCATTCCAACCTGGGCAATACAGCGAGAGTCCATCCCCAAAATAAAACAGTAATTACTTTTTCTTCTTGTGAGAATTGAGTGAGTGAATACAGTACTGCCTGGTACATCATCAGCATGCAGTATTCACTATGACCTTAATTCAATAAACAATTTTTGAATACCTATGGTGTACTGAATAGTGTGTGTGAGATATATTAATAGTGAATACAACATTTGTACTTAAGGAGGTTACAACTGCCAATGAAAGATACAAACTAGTGAACAGGCCATTGAAGCATGTGGTAAATGAGCACAGGAAGGATGTATTAAGACTTCGACTTAGAGAAAAAACAACTGAGCTCTCTTAAACAAAAGAGAGGATTTAAAAAAATAAAAATGTAGCAGTATGTCAGAATAGGACTATTACAGAACCAGGAACTGGAGCGTCATTGGGAGCCCCAGAAGTCGTCTTTCTCTGCTGGTGGGCTGCACTCTTCTCTGCAGACTGGCCTCATGCTTCTTTGTCCCCACAGAGGGATATGAACACCCCACAGCTCCTTCCTGGGTTTACATGTTGAAGCCTGACCAGGAAGCTGGATGGCCTGTCCCTGTGCCAAATTCTTGGGGAGGGAATTCTAATTTGGACCCCTTCAATGAAGGGTTTAACCCTGGTCTAATTGGCAAGGTCATAGTAAAAACATGGCTCTGGGGACAGTGACTGTAAATTGGGGAAGTGGGCAAGTGAGGCTCAGTTTTTGAAGAGGGAAGTGTGGCTCATGGGCTGATTAGATACTTCCAAAGGTGTCAACTACAGGAGGGGCTCTGACCCAGCCTTTAGTTAGAGGAAGCTTCCTACAGGAATTCATGTCTAGGCTGAGACTTTGAAGACTAATGAGAATTAACAGATGAAGGGATGAGAAGAGTGTATTCCTGTAATTGTGAGAAGCATGAGTAGAGAGAATGGGGCATATCTGGAGATCTCCAGGGAGGCCAGGGACAAGAGACGAGCCTGGGAAAATGAGCAGAAGTTAGATCACAAAGCGTCTTGTAAGCTTCACCATGTTGGAACTTTGCTGTGAGTTCTGAGGGAATGTATTAAAGATTTTAAAAGAGAACGTGTTTTTCTTTACAACATTGACACCATCAGATGTTTCGTTGGACAGATTATTCTGGGAACAATACAGAGAATATGTTGGGATTGGGGAAAATGGAGGCATTGAGGTAATTTAGGTGGGGGGGGGGTGTTGGTGATCCGAACTAAGGTAGTAATAGTAAGAAGAAGAAAAGAGTTGTGTTGGTCTTAGGACACCCACATTACACAGTGCTTGATTTGTATTAGGATTTTTGTTGAACAATAGCAACACAGAAATCAGATAAACTGGAGTGGCTGCCTTTAGTTCAGATATTTCTTGTTGCTTTGGTGATCAATGGCACTAGAACAGAGGAAGAGCTGGTAAATTCTGGCTGCAGGTCAGCACCGCTGAAAGATGTATTAAAGGCCCTTTCTCCCACTGCCATTTGTAACTCTTTGCATCCCCTGATGTGCCAAGAAACTTCAGCTCTGTAAATCAGGAAGGAGAGAAGAGTTATGGTTGAGGGCCAGGTTGAGAGGAGCAGGCTGAGAAAGAAAGAGAGGAGGAGGAGGAGAAAAAAAAAAGGAGGAGAAGTAGGAGGAGGAGTGATGAATGGTATAGATGGTATAGATCTTCTTCCCAACTTGGTGTCTTTGGTTAGAAGAAACTACAGGAATTATTTTCTAGTGATTCTCCGTAAGACTTGGGAGGGGGTGAGGCTGATGACAGCTGCTCACACAAAATGGAGTGGGAGCCAGGCAGAACAACACTGTGGCTGCTGTGGGCACCTGCAACTGACAGTGTGGCATGGGCCTACATGGAGTTCCCATTTCGGGAATACATGGGGAGAGAAGAAGGGACTTAAGGGGAAGTCCTGAGTTCTGGTTGCAGTATATGTGTTTGCGTATGTGCAAGTAGCGATGCAAATAAGGTGGTGTGGGAGATCATGTTCTTGTGATTTGGGTAGAACTCTGAGGAACACTCATTTTCTAGTTATAAGCTGGAGGCTTGGGTTTTGACCCAGATAATCTGGTGTTCAGCAGACAGAACATTCTGAGCAAGTATTTGAGTTGAAGTATTTTTAATTTTGAACCCATGTCACTTGAGGGGAGGTATTTTTGCTCACTTTCTGGGTGCACAGGACACTACCATGCCGATGTGGCCTCAGCGTGGGTCTTCCAGAGGCCGCAGAGCAGCACAACTGAGCCGCACCCTTCATAAAGTTCCCCCAGGCTCACAATGGGCTTTTTAGCAATCTAGGAACGTAGAAGTTTCCATTTTATAAATCATATGGTGTGGTCCATAGTCTTCCTTCTTTTTTGGTATCTAGAAGTTCTCCTTTTATTTTTTGTTTATTTATTTTTGAGATGGAATCTTGCTCCACTGCCCAGGCTGGAGTGCAGTAGCACAATTTCGAATCACTGAGTTCAAGCAATTCTCCTGCCTCATAGTCTTCCTTGTGTGTGTGTGTTTTTTTTTTTAAAGATGGAATCTTGCTCTATTGCCCAGGCTGGAGTGCAGTGGCACGATCTCTGCTTCCCAGGTTCAAGCAATTCTCTTGTTTCAGCCTCTCGAGTAGCTGAGATTACAGGCATCCACCACCATACCTGGCTGATTTTTGTTTTTTGTTTTTTGGGACAGAGTCTTGCTCTATCGCCAGGCCAGAGTGCAGTGGCGCAATCTCGGCTAATTGCAACCTCCGCTTCCCAGGTTCAAGCAATTCTCCTGCCTCAGCATCCCGAGTAGCTGAGGTTACAGGTGCCCGGCACCACACCCAGCTAATTTTTGTATTTTTAGTAGAGACAGGTTTTCACCATATTGGCCAGGATGGTCTTGATCTCTCAACCTCGTGATCTGCCTGCCTCGGCCTCCCAAAGTGCTGGGATTACAAGCGTGAGCCACGGTACCAGGCCAAGAAATTCTCTTGTAGGGTGAAAAATATTTGTTAGTGGTTTTTTTTGATTTTGGTTTCTTTTTTTTTTTTCTTTTGGTGAGACGAAGTCTCACTCTTGTCCCCCAGGCTGGAGTGTGATGATGTGATCTTGGCTCACTGCAGCCTCTGCCTCCTGGGTTCAAGCAATTCTCCTGCCTCTGCCCCCTGAGTAGCTGGGATTACAGGCACCTGCCACCACGCCCGGCTAGTTTTTTGTATTTTTAGTAGAGACGGGGTTTCACCACGTTGGCCAGGCTGGTCTTCTGATCTCAGGCAATATACCTGCTTCAGCCTCCCAAAGTGCTGGGATTAGAGGCGTGAGCCACTGCGTCCGGCCAGGGTTTTTTTTTTTTTTTTTTTTTTTTCTTTTCTCACATTAAATCAATACTTTTGAAAGTAATTTAGGATTTAGGCCAATACTTTGTAAAGGCTTCTATTTAATTATAAAATGTTCTAAATATACCTTAAAGAAGACATAATGAAATATTTGACCAGAAATTTCCATTCACGTTGCAAAAAGATCATTTACCGTCATATATAGTTAATACATGTACTTCTGATGGCAAATGTACTACTCAAGACCCCTCAAGTGTCTGGAAATAGAGATTTATTTTAGAAAAGCAGCTGCCTTATGCTCTGATTACTTTGCAGTTGTCTAATCTTGAGGAAAACTCCTTTGATGAAGAATCAAATCTGGATATTTTATCATAGGAAAAAGAGTTCCTAGGCTGGTCGTGGTGACTCACGCCTGTAATCCCAGCACTTTGGGAGGCTGAGGCAGATGGATCACCTGAAGTTGGGAGTTCAAGACCAGCCTGACCAACATGGAGAAACCCCATCTCTACTAAAAATACAA